CTACACTGTGTACCGTGCACCTTTAATCCAGACAAGCCTCTATACTGTGTATCATACACCATTATCGCATCACAGAAGCCTCTACACTGTGTACCGTGCACCTTTAATCCAGACAAGCCCCTATACTGTGTATCATACACCATTATCGCATCACAGAAGCCTCTACACTGTGTACCGTGCACCTTTAATCCAGACAACAAGGCTCTACACTACCGTGTAGAGTACATTGCCCATGTACACCCGTGACCCAGCACGCAGGCTTCACTGCACCGTAAACCACACCTTCACGACATAAGGTTTAGAACAGGAACAATGGTGTTTCAAGTGTAATGAATTGCAAACTGCAACAAAATGTGAATCTTCCATAAGAATTATTAAAAAATTATAATAATGATACGAACAAATTAGAATTAAAAACAAATTAAATTACTGTAATTAGAGGTTGCTTTTTTACCTTCAGTCGCTATAAAAATACCAATAAAAATATTGCTTGACTATATGCGACCGATTTTCAGTATTAACATAGCCTAATCCTCCCCAAATGCCTCAAAGTTTAGGCAAATTAAAATTTCAATAACTATAGCATCTAAGAAATGCGAAAAAATGTTTTCCCCTGCCACAAGGAGTACATACATGTCTTCGGGAGACCAGCTTTTTGTAAGGATAGAATAACATTGACGCTGGTCGCACACAACGACGTAAATACTTCCATATGGCCATACCACGTGTGCGCCCCAGCTGACGCCAAACACAAGAGTTCATGGTCAGAAATCTTTCATTAGTCACTGCCTACAAGCCTAGTCCTACCACACACCACCATCATTACACACCAGACAACTTTTGGGAGGGCAGGACGGAATCACACAGGCCCAGTGGTATATAGCATCCACGTATCAGTGTGAAAAAAATCACTTTCGCCTTGTTAGATATGACCCAAACCGGCATTTGTCAAGACTGTCGGTCTATACTACACTAAGACACTACCCTTCACAACGTCCAACTTGAAGATAATATCCTCTTTACCAAACTCAACTTGCGTCTAAAAACTGGATGTCATGTTATTACCATACCGTATATCACTTGCTCACATATTTGCAACAAATATATACAGTTGCCACTTAGCTCAACAAACAGAGCAACACGGGCTCACATTGAGCCAACAAACTATACATGCTCACACACATTCATCAGCCTATACATGAGCGTCATAGTCAACAAACTATACGTCAAAAAAAAAATACATGCTCGTACATAGTCAATAAACTATAAATTCTAGTACCGTCAACAAATTATACATGCTCATACATATTCAACAAACTATACGTACTCGTACTGTCAACAAACTATACATTCATGCTCGTAAAATAGATTCTTGTATACAGTCAAAAAACTATACACTCATACACAGTCAATAAATTATACATTCTCGTGGTCAACAAACTATACATTCTTGTACACAGTCAGCAAACTACACATTTTCATGAACAAATCCACAAGGGCCGTGATGAGGATTCGAACCTACGTCCGGGATGAGTCCAGACGCGCCTTAGTCGATCGCGTCCGGGATCATCCTGGACGTAGGTTCGAATCCTCATCACGGCCCTTGTGGATTTGTTCATTTGATATATCACACTACTGTGATTGTCGTATACTCATTCTCGTACATAGCAAACAGCAACAGATCCCATTCATTTAACAAACGACGCTGGTATAGTAAATACGAATTTAACAGTAAAAAAAAGTAAAAATATATTTTCTGCCCTAAACTAATTAATTAAACCAAATTTAAACCTGCAGACGCCCAAGGGATAACTTTAAACCAATTGGGAGCTCCAAGTACACGCCAAATCATTAGGGGTAATTTGAATTAATTTACCTTAATGTGCACTTATATATACGTAGAATTCTATGTAAATACCATAAGATCACATGCCAACAATAAACTAGTCCTACCCAACACTTAAATTACAAAATGCACAACAGCCTACATGGAAAATATATTCTAATCTTATGTAGATATATAAAATTATTATTAATTAGAAAGTAGCCTAGTCAATGATACATAAATATACAAAAATGAGTGAGTGGGCAGACATTTCAGCAATGTTGGGAACTCCCCCAAAAAACGGTCAGATACTGGAGTCGTCTGTGTGGCCCCTGATGTGGTTGGTGGTCGCACAGTGGAGTTCCTGTGTCGAGCCCCTGATGCGGTGGCTGCGCAGTGCAGTTCCTGGTACAGGGGCCCCCCTGATGTGGTCACACAGTAAAGTCCCTGGTGTGGGCTTTTGTATGTGGTGGCGATATGCTTCATATGGTGGTTCATATTGTCATGGCGATGTGATGGCAGCATGCTGGAGTCCCTGGAGGTGGTGGTTGCAGCATGCTGGAGTCCCTGGAGGTGGTGGTGGCAGCATGCTGGAGTCCCTGGAGGTGGTGACAGCATGCTGGAGTCCCTGGAGGTGGTGGTGGCAGCATGCTGGAGTCCCTGGAGGTGGTGGTGGCAGCATGCTGGAGTCCCTGGAGGTGGTGGTGGCAGCATGCTGGAGTCCCTGGAGGTGGTGGTGGCAGCATGCTGGAGTCCCTGGAGGTGGTGGTGGCAGCATGCTGGAGTCCCTGGAGGTGGTGACAGCATGCTGGAGTCCCTGGAGGTGGTGGTGGCAGCATGCTGGAGTCCCTGGAGGTGGTGGTGGCAGCATGCTGGAGTCCCTGGAGGTGGTGACAGCATGCTGGAGTCCCTGGAGGTGGTGGTGGCAGCATGCTGGAGTCCCTGGAGGTGGTGGTGGCAGCATGCTGGAGTCCCTGGAGGTGGTGGTGGCAGCATGCTGGAGTCCCTGGAGGTGGTGGTGGCAGCATGCTGGAGTCCCTGGAGGTGGTGGTGGCAGCATGCTGGAGTCCCTGGAGGTGGTGACAGCATGCTGGAGTCCCCTGGAGGTGGTGGTGGCAGCATGCTGGAGTCCCTGGAGGTGGTGACAGCATGCTGGAGTCCCTGGAGGTGGTGGTGGCAGCATGCTGGAGTCCCTGGAGGTGGTGGTGGCAGCATGCTGGAGTCCCTGGAGGTGGTGGCAGCATGCTGGAGTCCCTGGAGGCGGTGGTGACAGCATGCTGGAGTCCCTGGAGGTGGTGGTGGCAGCATGCTGGAGTCCCTGGAGGTGGTGGTGGCAGCATGCTGGAGTCCCTGGAGGTGGTGGTGGCAGCATGCTGGAGTCCCTGGAGGTGGTGGTGGCAGCATGCTGGAGTCCCTGGAGGTGGTGGTGGCAGCATGCTGGAGTCCCTGGAGGTGGTGGCAGCATGCTGGAGTCCCTGGAGGCGGTGGTGACAGCATGCTGGAGTCCCTGGAGGTTGTAACATTATGATTCATATGGCGGTAGTATGCTGAGGTCCCTCGGGTGTGGTGGCCGCATGTTTGGGGATCAGGGTGTGGGTGATCGCATGCTGAGTGAGGTCCTTGAGGAGGACCTGGGGATGAAAGCCGGATGCTGAGGTCCCTAAAGTGGGACCTGGGGGTACTGGTCGCATGCTGAGGTCCCCAAAGTGGGACCTGGGGGTGAAGGCCGCATGCTGAGGTCCCCAAAGTGGGATCTGGGTGTGCTGGCTGCATGCTGAGGTCCCTAAAGTGGGACCTGGGTGTTCTGGTCGCGTGCTGAGGTCCCTAAAGTGGGACCAGGGGGCACTGGTCGCATGCTGAGGTCCCCAAAGTGGGACGTGGGGGTGAAGGCCGCGTGCTGAGGTCCCCAAAGTGGGACCTGGGGGTGAAGGCCGCGCGCTGAGGTCCCTAGAGGGGGCTACTGGGAGCCAGCACTCAAGCCGTGGCACTATGCCAGATCCGCGGTGAAATTCGCCGATGTCCTTCTTGCCTAAAGCTTGAGAGAAAACTGGCTGGTAGTACATAGTCCAAGGTGGGAGGAGGCCGACCGCGCCTCCTCTGCCTTACACACGGCAATCATTCACTCCTAAGGTCTTCTGTCCATTCACTCCTCCATTCTGTCCATTCACTCCTAGGTTCCGTCCATTCACTCCTAGGTTCTGTCCATTCACTCCTGTCTGTCTGTCGCAGCTGCTACGAGTCAAGTCCTTTCTCTTTCTGTTTTTTTTTAACGTATTTTCAGACGTGTACGTTCACTCCAAAATATTTTCATCCACACTTATCGCACACTATCGTATTATTCAGTCACTTGGTGTTTAGTTAACAATGATGATATTACAACACTGATAATGGGCTCCAATGTTCATTTTCAAAGTCTGTTTCTGAGAGCCCCAACTTTGGTTCTCCTGTTCCCCTGAGAGCACCCACTTAGGTCCCCCTTATGAGCACCCACTTTGGTTCCCTTATACGGAAGGACCACACTTTGGTCCCCACACGAGCACCACTTTAGGCTCCCCCCTTCCCCCCCCTGTGGCCCCTGAGAGAGCACCCACTTAGGCTGCCCCCCCCCTGAGAGCACCCACCTAAGGCTCCCCCAGAGTGCACCACCGTGGTATCTGGTTGTCGTCAGCCACTGAAGGTTCCATACGCGGTGCGCTGTCCTCCTGGCGGCGGGGGGAGGGTGTAAGTTCAGCCTTCCAGTTATATAAATGGCTTCAGCAGAGCCGCCTCGTCGACACCCTAGGGTGTGTGTGGAGCCCTCGCACACACCACCGTCAGGAGCAGTGGTGGTAGTGGTAGTAGTGGTGGTAGTGGTGGTGGTGGTGGTGTGGGGTTCCAGTAGGTGGCGAGGCGGCCACCACGGCGCATCCACCATCCCCCACACATGCTCCGTTATATCCACATTTTCACTGCTAAAACACACTTCTCCACTCTTTTCTTGCGCTGGCGACCTCGTTCGAGACACGAGACGTGGCGGAAGTTAGGTCCTGAAGGTTGCAAGGGCTAGTAGGCCTTGTGGGACCAAGGCCTAGAAAGCTTCAACTAGGTTTTTATGAATGAGATTAAACTGCTCACCATCATTGAATGAAATGGCTGCCCACAAACACAATTCCACGTCTCGTAGCGTATAACTTACCTATTCCCACAAATTCTCATCAGTAGGTAAATCCAAAATCGACGAAAACACAGCAGAGGGAGGAAGATGAGGCTTTTGATAATCCAAATGTCGATATAATCCTTAGGAGCACACAGCAGTGTGTTCACCCTCTCACAGTTGGACCAAATATGGACCCGGAGCGTCAGCCCAGCCCAGGCGAGACACGGGCGAGTCCACTCCAGTGGCCGCGGGGGAGGAAGCTCCTCCACTCCTCTCCACCCGTATACATCTAACTCGCCATATATACCAACCATACTTTACACCTCCTTATTGATATCCTCATTATATTACACGTTAAATATACCTTCATTTACGTACTTATTTATCTAGTAAATACCATGAATATTCCTTAACATTATTAAAGACCGTAAGTATCTATATACGAGTACTTTAGGGGAGGGGGGTTAATTAATAAAGATGTTAGGCCGTTGTGTATACCAGAATAACGACGTGCCTTGGGCGTCAACCCCAAGCACAGTGTTGCAGTGAAAGGCAAGGGGGAAGGAAGCCAAATTCCCCCATAATACAGTCCAGAGGGAGGAAAGACAAGCAACAGGCGTTAGTTTCATTCATAAGAGCAGACGCCTCACTGCCGGACGTACAACGCATTCCTTTCATCGACTCACAACCCGACTGCAACGCCTCGTGCAACTCATGTGCCGTCGCAACACACACTCCCCGGGATAAACAATTCCCTCAGATAGGAAAATCGGGTTTAAAAGTTATAGAAATGGAGTAAAACTAACCCACAACCCAAGGTACCACCCCCCCCCACCCAGCCAAAAGAGGATGGGGTGGGGGGGAAGAGGGGGGGAGGGAGGAGGTGTGGCTGCCGAGAGTTCTTACACAAATAGTCGTACAAGGCCGGGGTCGCCTGGGTGCGCCTAGTACAAACGGACGTCTCTCTCTCTCTCTCTTAGCTAGGGCAAGGGGCCCTCTATATTCATTACTCATCTAGCAAGGGACACTAGCTGCACCCATTACTCACCTAAGATGGGGCCCCATATTCGTCTCTCTCTCTCTTAGCTAGGGCAAGGGGCCCTCTATATTCATTACTCATCTAGCAAGGGACACTAGCTCCACCCATTACTCACCTAAGATGAGGCCCCATATTCGTCTCTCTCTCTCTTAGCTAGGGCAAGGGGCCCTCTATATTCATTACTCATCTAGCAAGGGACACTAGCTACACCCATTACTCACCTAGCAGTTAACACCACACACCCATTATACACCTAGGGCTATTGTGCACATCCTGCCATGGCTTTTGGTCTCATGTGATGATATTTCTGTGTGTAGATTTGGAACCATTACTTTTAATATATAAAGTGTAAATTATTATGAGTCTTCCGCCTGTGCTCTAGGAGAAAACAGATTTAACTTTTTAAGGCGGTCCAAATAATTCTGACGTTCAACTGAGTTGATGCTAGCGGTGAAGGATCTGTGCACGATCTCCAGGTCAGCAAATTCTTCAGCTTTGAATTGTGGTGCTCGTGAGCAACAGTATTACACTCTGGTGAACACTAATGTCACAACTTGCAGGTGGAACAGCAACTTTATAGTGTTCTATAACAGTAAGTTCTTCCGGCATGATTACTCCTCAGTCTGCCCGAAACGCTTTGCGTAATAGTGGCTTTAGGCATTGTATGTACTAGCTCTATCTATAAATCTTTCAATTTTTGTAAAATCTCTTGTATGTATGTACCTTATCTGAATAAACATTTATTTATTTATTATTTATTTATTTATTTATTTATTTTATGCATCATTTCCTTTGAGTAGTGCGGGTGGTCTGTGTTTAACGTGTAGTTTCTGCATTGATGTTTACTCTATTTTTTTCAGTGCTGTAGTAATTGGAACTTATCCTCATTAAACATCATGTTTCTGTCTGTGGCTCGTTGAAATACTTGATTAACATCAGAGTGGAAGTTTGCTGTGTACTCTTTGTTGGCTACTCTCCTGGACATGCTGGTATCATCTGTAGAGGGTGATACAGTACTTTACGCAGACGAGGAGTCACAATAACGTGGCTGAAATATGTTGACCAGACCGATCGACTTGAGAATGGTCCAGGACGGACCGAAACGTCGGCGTCCCTTCACCTTCTAGTGTGTGGTCTGGTCAACAATACAGTACTATAGTTTGTACCCTTGTCTATGTCCGATATGAGGACGAGGTAGAGTACCGGGGCACGCACAGCACTCTGGACATGCACAGTACTCTGGGGGGACTGAGCTCTTCAAGGTGGATGATTCAGACTGTACTCTGTTGACCATTAAACTCTGGACTCTGTTTGTTACGAAGTTAAAGATCCATCTCCCTACTTTGCTAGCAATTTCTTTTTGTGTGCAATAACATCATGGTCACATTTGTCGAAGGCTTTTGCGAAATCTGTGAAAATTATATCGGCAATTTGTCTTTCATGACATCTGGTGCCATGCCACAGTGGTCCAGCAGCTGTGAGAGGCAGGAGCGCCCTGTTCTGAACCCGTGTTGACCAGGGTTAGGTGGACCCTGTCAGTACCTGGGTTTTGTGATCTTACTCCTTAGTACTCATTGAAAGATTGGTATGATGTTTGAGGCTAGAGTTATTGGTCTATATTTTGTTGCATCAGCTTTACTGCCTCTCTTGTAGAGTGGTGTTATCTCTCATGTTCTAGGTATGTCGGGATGACACCATTATCTTGGACATATCTTTAAAGGATGTTACGGGCCTGTGATAGTGAAGTTCTTGATGAATATAGAATTCCAGGAGTCTGGGACTGGTGCAGAGTGCATGGGGGTAGACTACGGGATCACCATAGCCCGTGCTATTTGGAACTTGTTCCAAGTAGCGAATCTTAAGCCACAACAACAAGAGAGTTCATGGGGCATGCTGTCAATGGTCACTTCAAACTGCAGTGGG